ATGATTAGATGACAATAATAAAAGACAAGGAATACATAATTCAGCAGCTTAAAGAAAAAATTAAGATGCTTCAATTATTAAAGCCAAATGAAAAGAAAAAAGAGTTTAGTCAGCTTCAACCAGTATTGATAGTAATACTGAGAAAGCAGCACCCAAGAAGCCTAAATATAAATCTACCAATAAAACAGTGCCAATGCTAATAAGGTCTTAAAGGAACAGGTGAGTGTCGCAGTAGCTACTGCTTCGAAGGAATTAGACAAGCGTAGAACTGAAACATTCCGAGATGCGGTTGCCAACACGAAATTACCTACTAAATCGACCCAAGCTGAACAATCAATTAAAGCAAATGACGATGGAAATTGGACTTTGGCCCAGAAAAAGAAGTCGCCGAAGCGTAAGAACAAAGCTATCGAAGGAACAAATGTGACCACTACTCTCGCGGGAGTAGTGAGGAAAGCCTTCCTGCATGTTTCGCCTGGCACCGGAAACATCGACGGAATATTACTAAATGAAAAAAACTTCAAAAATATTGAATGTGAGAAATGGCATCAAAACATCCCGAAACATTATGCCTCTTTCAAGGTCTCCATTGCGGAGAGCGAATTGGAAAAAATAAAATCTTCGGATGTTTGGCCAAAAAGAGTCTTTGTGGACCGTTTTTTATTCAATCTGGGAGAAAAAGCAAAGAAAAATTGTCAAACTGGATCAACATAATGTTCTTGAGTATTCAATGTTTATCCAATAAAACAGAGGCATTAACAATGGTCGTCCATGACAATAAAATAAACATTATTTGTCTATGTTGTGAGCATGGCTTGGCAACGACCAAATCGACCTGTATAGCATACGTGATTCGGTAGTCAAAATATGCACGTAGGGAGGTTTATTTACTGCCGGAAAGAGATAGAATGTTTGGAGTTAAATTACATAACATCACATTCCGATGAGCTGACGTGCGAAATGGCCGCATGCCATATAAAACAATGAAAAACGGTTGTAATATCGATGTGAGACTGAGACCCAATGCGACTCTTGACACATTCTTGCAGAAAGTTGAGGAGACTTTACTGATTATATATGATAATTTTGACTTAAAAACAAACATCATCCTATGCGGCGATTTTAATGTTAACCTTATTGAAAAATCAAATGGAACAAATGCGTTGATCAATTTAATGTCTATGTTTGGGCTACAGCATTACTTAATGAAACCCACTCATATTAGTCTTACTTCAGGAACTTTCATTGATAACGCATTTACAAACGTCGATAAAATTAATTTTTCAGTAGATACCTTTCCAGCGGCGATCTCGGATCATGAAGCTCTGCTTATTCGTTTGAGAGTTGTTGACCCTAATGAAAGTACATTCCGCACTGTAAGAAAGATCGGTGGTCTCTACATGGACAACTTTGTTAATCAAATTGGCCAAGTAGACTGGAAACTTTCGGTAACTATTTCGATAACTTTTTAGTTATATTTGAGAAGATAGCTTGAAATGCATTCCCGTGCAGTCTTATATATATAAACGAGTATCGATCAAACAAAAATGGAAACCAGCGCAGTCTCTAGAAGTCCTGAAATTGAAGAAAATGGCCGACTTAACATATGACGCATTTAAACAAATAAAAAGGGCTGATTATAAAGCTTTTTATGAAAATCTGAAAAAGCAATACATCCAAAAGATGGAGTATGAAAAAAAACAAACGAATATAAAAGACATCATACATTCTGATAACAAAAATATCACAATTTGGATCATAATAAACTGGTGAAAATTTTACAGGTAACATAAGTCATGAGGCACCCAGTATTGAAGACTATAATATTTTTTTCAAAAATGTAGCCATAAATGTAGTAAAAAATCTGCCCCAGCCAGAAATTGCAGCGAACGTCTATTTGACAAAGGTATTTGTGAAGGGCCAAAGTATATTTTTAAATCCAACTACCCCAGAGGACATTAATACAATGATTAAACGCTTGAAAAATAAAACGTCGTTTGATGCTTTTAGCATTAATACAAATATGGCAAAATCTGTCGCACAGTACAATGCTGGACCGTTGTGCACATGATATTTTTTCCACAGGAGTCATTCCAGAGGATTTGAAGCTGGCAAGAGTAGTACCATTATATAAATCAGGAAATCGTCAATCAGCAGCAAACTGCAGACCGATAGTCATACTGCCAATATTTTCGAAAATTACAGAAATGCTGTTAGCATTGAGAATTACAAATTTCTACGATGCTAATAACTATTTTGTGAAAACTCAATTTGGATTTAAAAAGAAAATTAACACAATGGATTCTGTGCCAGACTTTTTGAACTTTCTATCAAATTCACACTGGAAGATCATAAACACTGTGGTGCACTATTTTGCGATCTCAGCAAAGCTTTTGGATATATTTTTCAGGAAATTAGAATATTATGAATTTAGAGGCGTAGCCCTTTAACTTATGCAATCATACATAAGTAACAGGTATCAGTTTGTGGAATGGAACAATAAACGAAGTGATATAGCAAGATTAAACGCAGGGGTTGCCCAAGGGAGTATTCTTGGGCCACTTCTTTTTATCATATTTGTGAATGATCTATCACCGAACATCAGCTGCCATACAACGCAGCTTGAAGATAATACAGCATTGGCGGTTGCGGACGAGAACATCGCAAATATGAACGAAAAAATTCAGTATGCTCACAAGCAAGTTGAAAATTGGTTTTTAGCCAACAAAATTGTACTGAACAATAGAAAAACAGTCCATATTAACTTACTTCGAGTAGGAGACATAAGGAGCTGCATGGAGGGAAAAATAAATATTTGGGTCTCACTATGGACAGTCTGCTAACCTGAGCGAAGCACATAGATTCGATATGCACTAAGCTTTCAAAATCAATATATGCCATCAGAAGAGTAAGATACATTATAAATGAGGAATGCGCCAGAGAGGCTTACTTTGCCATGTTTCACTCTGTGTTCTCATATGGAATATTGGCATGGGGACACTAGATGCCTACCTCCAAGATAATGGACTTACAGAAGAAGGCTGTAAGGCAGACCCTTGTTTACTAAATTTAGAATACTAACTGTTACCAGCAGGCGATTGCCCTCCATGCAGACAGAACAAACCATGTCCTGAGGAGTGACGTCCATGACACGTGGAACAGGAATGCTGTTGTACATCCAAAACTGAAGCTTAAATCCTCGCAAAAGAACAAGCTAGGTGTCGATATCTACAACAAACTTCCCAATGAGTGGAAGAGTAAAAGCAGGAATGGTTTCAACGCTGTCTTTAAAAAACATCTTATAGATTGATCGATCTATTCAATTAATGATTTTTTTTAATCCAACTTAATTATTAATTAGGTTAATCCTAGAGTTGTTCATAAATATAATTTATATTATAATATTGTGATAAAACTAATAATTGTATTGACTTAAATTGTACATCTTGATTTTGAATAAAGTATCTCTCTCTATGCGCATATATATATATATATATATATATATATATATATAATAAAATTAGAAAATATACCACAATTGCCCCTATTTTCAAGAATTTTTTTTTAGTAGACTTCTTAGTATTCCATTATTTTACAATTCTGATTTAATACGCAAACTGTTGATGGAACTTGCCAACACGCTTTAGTATCAATTTAAAAAAATATATATTCATAGTTTAAAATGAAATATTAGAAAGTCTTCATATTATATTCTTTCACTTATTGAAATTCTAAAATCATGGTTATTCTCTTTTTAGTGTTTGCTTATAATGCAAGAAATTAAATCCATATACCTCATGATTTTTATCATCATATATTTGTCATATATACTAGATACTATTGCAATTAGATATTAGATATTTTTAATTAATATTTGTGACCACAAACTGTTCATTTTATTCAATTCTCTAAACAACAAAGTTATTCATTATATAAAGGTCTAATAATGATTTTAGTTTGGTAGACTAAAACAACATTTGATTAATTTTTGTTCAATTTTTCAGCGCTATTATAAGTTACTAAGAGAGGAATTGTCTAAACTTCCTGTGCCCGAAGGAATGTGCGAATTAGACCAGCCGCCATTCAGTGCTGACACATCGCCAACAACTCCAACAGCACCTCAACTTCGACAGTTACTGAATACATTAAATCCAAATCAGCAAACAGACCCTTGGACATCTGGTGTTGCATACCATTCATCTTTGTCCGCTCAGCCTGACCTTGTGCAAGACGTACTAACAACTGAAGCAACAGATACAGATGTTGAAATGGAAAAAATTGTATCAGATGTTCTATGTGACTAGAGCTTGATTTGAGTTTATCATAGAAGTGTTAATGAAACTATATTTATTAATGGTTTTATATATGAATGGATCCAAAATAACAGGTGTTAGCCAAAGAGCATTTAGTTTCTCAGAATAGAATTGTTAATTTAGATTATCATTTGTACAGTTTCATGAGAAGTAATCACCATATGTCTATAAACAATTGGTTGTATCATTTATTTATATTCAGTAGAGATTCAAATAAAATGTATTATTTAATGTAATTATTACTAAGTAGTATTTTTTTAAGTCCTTCATAAATATGTAAAAAATAAAATCATATAATGTGACGTTATATATATGTATACATAATATGTAAAGAATGAAATGAAATGATTATAACATTTTAATGACATGGGATTTTATTAAAAATTATAACCTCAATATAAATAATATATAAAAAGTTTGAAGTCGTTTTTACAAATTATGTTTTTGTTTCTTTGATGAAACCATTTATTTCTTTGGTAATGATTAAAACATATATATTAACGGTATATTAACAGCAAAAATTTAGTTTATGCGCGGTTTGTAAGTATTGCTATTCGCGCGATTTTTTAATCTCACGTCATGATGGGCCTCGACAATATAATAATTGATGATGGGTGTCTGATGCTTTACTATTTTTTATTTTATCTTAACATCAGGCAATACGACGCACAGTGGATATCGGCAATAAAAAGTTATTTAAAATAATTAATGAAACAAATAAACTGGTTTACTTTAGTTATATGATTGACATTTTAAATAATTTATTTAATAATAACTAATAATTCATTTTCAATAATAAATTATAAATATTGACGTTACACCTGAATACATCAATGTTCAGTTTGTGCTTTCAAAATCTAAGATGGTGGCAATCAATTGTTTGTATAACTATTGTTGTTCGCGTTAGTGGTTAGATGGAACATGCAAAAGTGTTATGCGTTGAGATGTTATAAAATGTTATAAAACATAAAGCATCAAATGAGTAGTTGAGTTCTTTATTATTAATTTTAGCGCAATAACTGTGTCCAAGTATACCTATAATAACCTCAAATGGAGGGCAATAATGAAATCCCGTTAATCGCTTTAGCAGATGTCAAAGGTATGTTTTAGAACATACAAGATTTAGATTCAAGATAGATTCAGAACTATCAATGTCAAAACGTATGTTTAATTGCAGAAGAGTTAGAATTCGATCCATCTTTAAGTCAGGAGCAAAAAGATTTTTTTTTGAGTATATATCAAGATATTCGAAACGTTAAAACGGAAAGGTTACATTGTACTTCTTGTGATGTTCATTTGGGATCAAACACTTTAGGTATGCTGTTTATTTATCATTTTTAATACTAACTGATTTTCCACAATAATGTCATTATATTTTAGGAAATGTTTTTGTCCATCCCCATTTACAAGTGCTTTTGTGTGGTCCCTGTTTAACTTTCTATAATTCTGGAGTTTTTGAGAGAGGTGATGATGGAAGTGAGTTGCATTGCAGGTGGTGTGGACAAGGAGGCCAGGTGAGGAAAAAATACCCCACAAAGGTAGCATGAAATTCTTTTTACAATGAGAATTTGTGAAAGTATATAATATGAATTGGTTTATTTTGATTTACTCATCATGAGTTTGTAAACTAATTAATTTCTTTTGTCTGGGTTTGTGTGTTTGCTGATTCAAACTGGTTTTTTTAAGCACACTATATTATTTTCATTCTCTATTACATTTTATAAAAGAAAAAATGCAATATGAAAAGAGCAGTTAAACATCAAATAATTAGTTTTATTTAAAATCCCATTACTCACCAGATTTATTTTGTTTCATTGTCTTATTCAGTAGAATATTAACACTTTTTTCAGATAGAACTGTGAATGATTGAAATAACAAATTAAATGGCAAAATATTTTTGATGTAATTTTTTTGTGTACATTTTGGAATACTTTTATTACAAGTAATTAATAAGGAAGGAACGATTAAGACAATAGTTATTACGATGAGTACTCTTTAAATGCCAGCCCAAATATGATCTTGTGACGATCATCACGAAAATAACTATTATTTTAACAGTATACCATAAAAATTGAAATTTTAGAAATATTAGGTAAAATGTATAATAGCTTATTTTATCATAGGTTTATTGTTGCTCAAAATGTCCAACTGTATTCTGCAAACCATGCATAAAAAGGAACTTTACAAGGTCTACTATAAAAATAATTGATGACAGTGATGAGTGGGCTTGCTTTCGATGCGATTCAAAACCTATGTGGATGATTCAGGCTCGATGTTGGGCTCTTTCTAATTATGTAAGATTGGAGAAAATGTGAGTAGCTAAAAAATAATATTATTTAATATTTATATTTAATTCTAATATTAGAAAACTTTCATTTATTTTTAATGCTAAATATTCATTTATTATCAATATATAGTTAGCTATCATTTATTGTTTTTTTTTTATTTGCAGAGCATGTGAAAATTTAGACCCATCTAGTCATCGAAAACAACAATCTTTCATTGACCATTCTTTATGTTGCAAAGTAAGAAGTGCATGCAACAAAATTGATACATCTGAGTGTAAATCCAGAAAAAGAAATTTAAGTATAGTAAAAACAGATATTGTCCAAACATTAATACCTAAACGTAAAAGTGCTCCAAAAACGACAGTTGGATTTAAAATGGACACTGAGGAGGAGCATGAAGTGGTCTGCACTCCTGATATTTTCAGTTGCTTGGAAGATGATCCTGATGATCCAGTAAATACTGAGATGGAATCTGAACCAATGTCGCATATGAATGGTTCTGAGGAACCTGCAATAAAGAAGCCAAGAATTTCTGTCCGGCCTCCAGAATCTCTGATGCAATCTCCTGATCAGCCTATGTTTCCAGCAATAGCTCAAAATAGGCTATTATTATGTCCCATGCCTGGACCAAGTGTGGGGATAAATGATAACCCAATGCCAATGAAAGGGAATGTTCTACATGCTGGCCAAACAAATTTAGTCATTCCAAATACTGGAGCCATGTATAATGCTAACTTAAGATATAATTTGGTACCTGTACAACGCAGGTCTGCAGTTAATCCACCACCTCTGTCACCTCTGATCCTCAATCCAGCAATGAATGCTGCTAATAATACAGTTCCTACTCCTGTTAAACAAACTGCTATTGGTAATGCTATGAGTGTTACTCAAGTAAAGAACTTGCCAGCACAAAACAATCGTAATTCAAAATACATGCAAGTAAATAAAAATATCACAAAGACATATGTCCGTTCAGCTGCAAACGCAACAGATAATAATGCAAAGAATAAACCAAATGATCAAACTTTATCATCATTGCTTCAAAAAAAATTAAAAGAAAACCCTTCTATAAATGCTATGAAACTAAGAAAATTACCTGAATGGTTTCATGCAAATACACAGAGCTGTCTGGTAATTGCGTACAATTTTGTATCACAGTTGCTTGATTTGCAGACTAAAGCTCAAAAAGTTCAAAATTGCAGTTATGATGAAGTAAAAAATATGCACGTGCAGCTTTCATTTTTCATATCTGCATTAATTGGTAAATTAAAAAGTAATCAATCTGAGCTTAACACTCATCTATCAGAATGGACTGATACTTTGTGCAAGTCTCTTGAAGGCCAATCTTCAGAAGGAACAAATTTGCAGTCAGCTTCTTCAATCATTAAAGCTGACCCGCCTCGCAAAAAGCTTTCAGCTGCAGAAATCGGTCAGCAGAATCGAGAGGAGTTCAAAGATATTTTTAAAAAGTTTGAGACTGACAGAAAACTAAATATGGATTCTATTGTATCAGTTGCTAAATTCAAGTTTCATAAGAGTACAAATGTCTTTAAAGTGAAACCAAAAGTGAGACAAATAATCAAGACACCCAATATAGATCCTAATGTAATTCAAACAATTGACTCAGACTCTGATGATGATGATTGTAAAATTATATCAGATCCACAACCAACAACTATAAATTCAGTTGGAGATAAGCCATCTACAGAGAGTAGAAAGAGTGAACTAATTTGTGTTGAGAATGAGCTACCTAAAAATGAAAACTCGCAACAAAATGCTGCAGTTCAAGATAATGAGATGTCAAAACCACCTTCAGAAAACCCAGCCATTGAAAATACAAATGATACCATTCAAGCTGATAAGATTTCATCTGAAGATAATGTTACACAGTTAAGTGAAATAGAGCCTGAATCACAAAAATCAACGAATGAAGAAACTACTTGTAACATATTGGTAAATGCCATCTCAAACGTTAAAGAGCAAACACTTAAAGAACAAGAACAAGTTTCAGAAATTCCTGAAGATATTGCAAATGAACAAATAGAACTTCATAATAGTGAAAATCTGGAACATGCTGGTGATAACAGCATAATATCTGACACAACTGAACAGTCAAACAATGCGGTTATTACTCATGATGACAATACTAATATTGACATGCAAGATGATACTTCAAATGTCAATAGTGTAACAAGTGATGTTGGGATTATTAGTGAAGTTACTTCTGATAATGAGGTTGGAAACCAGGTACAAACAATAGACAAGGATGATTCCACTAATCAGAAAGAAAAAAATGATGACCAAGGTATAATTAATGTTAATACTGGTGACGATTATAATAATATTGAGGCATATCCGTCAAATGATACTGAACCAGAAACAGTATTAAGTGAAATCAATAATCACAATAAAGATATTGTGCAAATGGAAACAAATATTCGATCTAACATGGGGGCAGTTGATAGCCATTTGAATAATAAAATTTTAGGCGTTCATGAAAACTCAATGACCTTAGAAATTAATGAATCAATTTTAAACAATAGGACTACTGGTTTGGAAACTGATACTATTATTGGTAACAAGCATTCTAACATTGCAGATGCTACTGAACAAGCTTTAAAGAAACTAGAATGCGTTATTGGTTTAGAAGAGATGAACCAGAATATTGAGAGCATAAATGTTGAAGAGAAAATAGGTAATAATGCCAAATCAACAATTGCTGATGGAAGTGATATAAATTCATTTTTGAGTTGTGAAAGAAATATTTCTAATGCAGAATGAACAAAATTAATGTGTGATAGGAATCCTAAACTTGGTTCTTAATCTTACAAATGACTAAATTTTAAAAAATTAAGAATATTGATTTATAGATGGTTTGTAAAGTTTTTTTTTACATATATATAAATAACTATAAGCAGTTATCGTAAGGTGCACATAAAGTATGAAATTATGTGATAGCATATAATAGATTTTTTTCTATTTATATTTGTGCATATTTTAAATGTAAGATATGATTTATTTCATTTTATATTTACCCATGTAATTTTTTTTGTTCAAAATAATGGTTTATTATGATACATTATCACAATATTATTAGATGACCCAAAAATAAAGAGAATATTTAGAGATGCAAAATTTAACAATTAATGTCAAATAATGTTTGTGATAATGTAATAGATTTATTTTATTCTTTTTTTTCAAATTTCTCTGGTTTTTATTTTGTCAAATAATTCTGGCATGATTTATAGCTCAATTGAATGTTATTCATAAAAAATATTCAAAACTAATGTAAATAAATATATTATAAGTATATTTTTAACTTAATACAAATTGTAAATTATCAAAATGATTTCTTTGTTAAATATTCCACATATAACATTCACAACTATGCATCATTGTAAACAATGCAAATGTGTTTATTTTAATTATGTGATTAAATAAAATAGTATTTCAATAAAAAAAGTAATTCATTGATAGTAAAGAATTATATAACATTACAATGATTTTGTTTAGAATTGTAAGTTTTAGATGATGTTGCTCAGTGTGCGAGACTGAAATTAAAATATTTATATGATTATGAAGGTTTGCGACTATTTTAACTGGAGTAGTAAAAAGTAATTGTCTAGGGGTTATGGTATTTTCCTGATTGTTCCCAAATTCTAAACATGTACATTTTCAGTTTTCAGCATTTGAACGATTTCAACCACATTTACTTTAGTGTTACCAGACTAAGTAAAACGTGTTCTCTTTAAATGTATGTATGATTTCAGAAACTCAAAATTTATAAAGCATAGGTGTCATTTACATAGTAGCTGCATAAATAATTCAAATTTGTGAAACATAAATAAAAATAAAACAATTTGAAAAACTTGTGTGTTGCCAGTCACGAGTTAGAATGATATAGTAAAAACCATAATGGCGGTGTAACTATGTTCTCATTAAGAAGTGAAAAATAAAAATTAACATAAACGTCTTTTTTCTAAACGGAAGGTAACTTATAATATGGTGAACATGCTATGATCATTGTGGACGAGAGGGATATATATATAATGACGATAAATTTCAAGGGCTATTCAAAATTTGCAATGAATTAAAGGAAATGCCCTCTTCTGTAATGGTAGCCACATAACATTCTCAATCAAAGATGGCGGGTATGTACCTTTCGTTTTTGTATATGCCTTATGCCAATGATTATTTTCATAAACAATTAATTTTGTTGACAGATTTAAATCAGAAGATTTCTTGTACTTATTGCGAAGATGAAATATCGGGTGTTCGAGTTCACTGTGCCATATGTCAAGATATCGAACTCTGCTTGCAGGTGTGTATCATGTCACTTTAAACACAGCGCGAAATTCAAAAATTACATTTCATAATATTTCTTTTACAGTGTTTTGCCGCTGGAGCGGAGATCGGTCCGCATAAAAATGATCACGACTATCAGCTTATGGTAAATATAGTAAAATTTATAAGAAATTTATTTTGACTTGATTTTAAATAATAATGTTTTTTTAGGAACCAACATTAAATGTTTTCCGAGGCAAAGGCGCTTGGTCAAACATGGAAATTATGTGGCTTTTGGATGCTGTTGAACATTATGGGTTTGGTAACTGGGAAGATATTGCTAAACATGTAGAAACGAGAACACCAGAAGGTAAACAGATAATTAAGAGCTATTTCAATAAAAAAAAAATTATTGATATTAATTATCTAATATCAATAAATTCTAACTAAAATCTAACTAATTATCTTATTTATAAAAATGGAAACTTGAAAATGACTAGACTGAAATAACTTTATTGTAAATAAATGTTCTAAAGATGATGATAACCAGAGCAAGATTTTAATTGAATCACTTGTCTTCCTATATTCAATTGCATCTTTAGCTAAATATGTTGAAATAAAAGTGTATTTTTTGATAATGTAAACATTCAATTTGAATATATGTATTAATAAATAGACATATATTTTGTACAACATGTATCAATTAAGTAGCTGTATATATATTTTAAAGGTACAGATTCATAAAATGCAGAAAATGTAATGTACTAAAATCCTAGATGTTCATTAACTTCAAACTATTCTGTAAAAATAGTCAAAAGAAAATAATGAATAATTTATTATACTGAATTTAAACTATAATTTTTGTTGTAATTCTTGATAAATTTATCTTTATGTGCGGTTTTTGAATTTATCATGATTTATCAAATGTGTCAAAATTATTTAGCAAATTTTTATGACATAACCTTCTTAAGCAATAATTAATGTAAAACATATTCATAGAAGTATTCACACTTTGTTCTCTACTCCCAGTACTTAGATTTATAATTTTTTTTCCGGTATAGATATATTTAAATAGTCAATCAGCCTAAACATTATCTTTTTAAATGTGTAAGTCTTTACGGTTTCGAGTTATTTATCTCTAATGAAATACTTTTTTTTTATTTACTTTTTACTTTAAATTGTATGGCCATTTTCTTTTCAGTCTATGTGTCAGCAATACTTAGTTTACTTAATTTGAATAGTGATTTGGGTGACCTCGTAGTTTATCATAATATTTTTGGCATCTTTCTTTTATTAATTTGTTAATCGTTCTCATATTAGTTCTTTCACGCAAACCACTGACTAGGTTTATAAATTTTTTTTTTTGTTATGTCTTAACTTTGTACGTTGTTTATGTCTTAACTTTGAACTAGCAATATCTAATGACCACTTCACTATTCTTCCCTTTTTATGAAGAACCATTATGTTGCTTGTCCCAGATTTGATGTAATTTGACATAATTTCAGGCTCAAAATTACTATTGTAAAATATTCATGCCATATAAAAAGCGGTTTAAAACCTTATAAACTCTTATAAACATAATAATCAAATTTCGGATATTACAACTAATTAAAAAATAAATAGATCATTTTATTGATCATTTTTATGCTGAAACTTTTTCTATCCGCGAACATGTTAAAATAAAAGTTTTTATAGTTACAAACTGTAAATATTATTTCTAATTGTCAGAAACCCCTGATTAAGGGACTGGCTGCAGGTAAAAATTAATAGTAGCAATTATCGAACTTAACACCATAAAATTGGCCAAATTGGTTTAATATGGGGACACCAATTTATTTAGTGTCCTCATATCAAACTTATCATAATATGTTCTATAAGAAAATATGTATTTAAAACCATATGAACTACTTAGCACAATCTTATTTTATGATACCAGGACGAAAACTTTTTATTCCACCCTTGTTTATATATAATAATTTAAAAAAAAAATGCCTATAATTGGGATACACTATACTAATATTATTTGTCAAATAATTTCAGCTGCCAAAGATGAATACATAAATAAATTTGTTACTGGAGTTATCGGAAGACTGACTTGGGGTAAAGCCGTCTCAACTAGTGAAATTATTACGAAACATACTCCAGATTCTGGAGATGGTGATGAAATAACGCCAAAACTGGAACCGTTAGATATTACTACAGAAGAAGCAATTCAACTCGAGTACCTGCCTAAAAGAGACGATTTTCAAAGTGTAAGTTGAAATCCTGATGACATTGATAGTTTGTATCAAAATAGTAATTTAAAGTATCCAAATTTAAATGGTGTTTTACAGGTTTATGATGCAGAGGCAGATGAGCTGATATCAATAGCTTCAAGTATTATTACTGAACATAGTAATTTTGATCGAGGTAATATATTTTGTCAAAAAAAACCTAAGTGAAGATTTTTTTTGTTTTAATTTCAATTTGTGTTACAACTGCTAAATAACAACTCTAGTAACATTGAGTATATAAATAAAATATAGTATAAAATAAAGGACAGTAATAAGTAAATATAATTTATGATACCCTTTTAAGCTGAGATTATTCTTAACTTAAATTTTTCAACTATTATATTGTACTGTGGTTTCAGTTAAGTTTTTTCAATTTCAACATTAAATCTACTCTTTATTAATTTAATCATTGTTAGACATTTTTTTGGGTTGATTTTTAGAGATGAGATAGCTACCTATAAATTTTTTTAAGACCTTAGCTGGAGTTATGCGCTTTATCAACTTCTTCTGTTCAAACACGCAACATATTTATGATTTGTTACGCACGTACATCGTCGCCATCTTGATGTTTTTCAATATTTTCGCACTTTGATTCAAGGTTGTGAAAGTAAATAATATTTTTTAACGTACAAACAATGCGAACTCAACATATATACCTGTACAGTCACTATTAATGTACAATTAAAATGATATATTTCTGTGGGTAAATCGTTACTACACAGTTAATATTGATATGATTAAGATGAACTATCTATAAAATAATTTACTATCATAAAACAGTCAAAATATTTCTATGTTAGGATAACCATAGTTACAGCTGACAAAAATTTTACTATTTCACTTTGGCATTAATATTTTGATTGAAAATTCTTACTAGAATCTCAAAACACTCAGGTTACTCATAAGTCAAGGTACCACTGTATTACATTTTTAGTATGTATATTATATATTTCCAAAATTGGAATTGTCATAAACGTATTAAATTCCTATTTGCTTTTAAACAAAGATGTCATAAATGAGTGATATGTATATATAGATAGATAGATATTTTATTCAAATTCAATTTAAGTCAATACAATTATACTATAATATAACTAAACTAATATCAGTTATGTTTATGAACAACTCTAAGATTAACCTAATGACAATTAATATTTATCTTTATTTATATATATATATATATATATATATATATATATATATAATATATGAAATGGTGTACGAAAAATCTTCAGAAAATCTATATTTTCAGCTTTAAAGTTATCCATAGCTGATATGAATGCAAGGCGAAGGAGGGAACGTGAGCGGAGAGAAAGAATGGTACGAGATTATCAATTAGTCGCAAAATATTTTAGGCCGGAACAAAAACGTCAGAAGATTAGTAAAGAGCATAAGTAAGAATAATTTATGTCTGAAAAATATATTTTGTTATTTTAAATATGTAGGTACTTTTTTATGGATTAATGTAACTTTTGTGATTTTAATATTGCTTCAGTTTTTTGATAACATTTTGTTTATATTTGATTATCATATTTAAATATGTAAAGTATTGTATTAAACTTCAATATATGAGAAAGTACAGTAGAATCCACTTAGTGTGACATCGAACTGACACCAAAAAATCGTAATAATGAGCGGGCGTCATACAAAACATTCTGGAAAAACAATTGTCGAAAATTCCAGATCATCGGGCGGTAATTATAAGAACAATAAATTAAATATTGAACTACAAAAACAGAACTAGGTGGTGAAAAACAGTTTTAAAGGGGGCAGTAGTAATTAGCACAGGGCAAAATGGTTAATCGTCTTTGTTTTTCTTAAAAATCTTTGCAGCTTTTTCTCGGTTATTGTAACTGGGCATTTTTTTTTAAATAATGGGTCATGATAAGCTAACATTTGAATGTAAGGTAAGCCATTATGTCCGCCTGCTTCATAAAAAAATTTATATGAAAACCAAACTTTGTAGTAAGTCATAATAGGCGGTTGGTCAATATATCCGGCGTTATGCTAAGCGAATTCTATTGTATTAATATAATATATATATATATATATATATATATATATATATAGTGTGTGTGTGTGTGTGTGTGTGTGTGTGTGTGTGTAGTATGTGATTTGTCTTGATTATATTAAAATGAGTGTGTTGAGCGGAGCAATAGCACCAAGTAAAATGTAAAACTAAAGCAATTAGGAAATCAGCTATATTAATCTATACATTTCAGTCTTCATCGAGACCATCATGAAGTGAAAAACTGGAAAGTTTTTATAATTAATTTAGAAAAAAAAAATAGATGTTAACAAATTGGACAATTTAACACTACACTACAATAATTAACACAATTGTAACACCAAGCTGTCAATAGTTCAAACATTTAAAACTAATTATGGATTTGAGTTAAGAGACGAGATTTGTGTACATAGTTGTTGTAAAACTGAACACTGAATTAATTCTGTTTACAACGATTTTTAAAAAATGTTGCACATTGCACAGGTAAAAACGCTATTGCCCAACTCAACACCCCCCGCTTTAATATATATATATATATTATTATTGTTTAATATGAACAAAACAGCACTCAGATTTGTTTAACACAACTTTATTTTATGATTACAGACGTTCGAGACTATGGTGTGTCTCATCTTC